CCCTTGTCTATTGTGAGCCGCCCGGAGTCCTTCGGGAGTGGGCGGCATACAAGACAAATCAAATCAAATCAATAAGCCTCTGGAAACACTTATTCAACCATAGAAACATGTGAATCAAGACAGGCTGCTTATTGATATAATTTTACAGTATATGTATCTACTGGAGCTGCCAGCATTGTACATTTACAAACTAGATCTAAGCCAGAGGCCAGCCATATTTGGGTTATTTCGGGGTAAGATGAGTAAGGGGAAGAACTGGATTCATGTAATAGGGGAACTACCGAAAATATAGCTCCATTTTCTGGAAAGTGAAAATGTGCGTAGTTTTTTCGACAAGCTCTGACTCACAAACTTGTGCAGGATTCTGCGCTCCGTTTTGCAGCCTTAGGGCTCAAGTTCATGCTGTACTTCTGCTTGTGTTTCAACAGCTGGAGGCAGCAACATAGGCAAGGCAGAATCTCCAAAATATATAACGGAATTGTTGCCCCATAATCCTGCCTGCCAGTCCATGCCCTACCTGTTTCCTGATGCAAGGGTGGCTAATCACCAGCAGAGGGAAGTAAGGTTCCAAGGAATCTCGGTCCAAGTTAGAAGAATAGGGAATATCTAGATGTAGTAGGACATGTAAAGCTGATAGTATCTTTCCCAGCAAGAACCCAGGTTGTGTAATCCGCATGGGAACAGAAATGGAAAATCTCTTTCTTTGCCTTTGGCTCAGACGTGAATGAGCGGGAAATGGAATTACCATTTTAAAAGATTAACTTCTCGGTTCATCAATTTCCCGAACAAGTATCCTTAAAATTATGTGGATTTCTGTTTATTGGAAGTCCATTGTCGGTTAATAAAACACTCTACCGAGTGGATTACAGAGCAATTTTAAATTCCTGATTTTGCAATCCAGTCACAAGCGAGTGGGAAATAAGACTCGCTACTGGTACTTTTCCACGAGGATAGACAGGAGTAGCAAAATGTCTTATTTGAAGGCCGAGTCTCAGCATTTCCAGGACTGGCCATTTAAGTGGGTAGAATAAGATTTTTCTATGACGAGATGAAATATTACGTTTTGAAAATTATATGTTAAATTTTGCAATAATGGGATAGCTGCATTAATGTATCAATGCCCAAACTGTTCATTAGAGTTATATATCTTACAACTCTTGTTCAATTGTGTTTTATGGAATGTTGTATAACTGAAGCCACTCCCAAATAATATGTCAATCCCAGAAACCGAACAGACATCCTAGTCTCGATTCTAATAAGAGCTAGAGTATAAAGAACAGTAGGAATTATTTATCTAACTGGAGCCTGCCGAAAAATGTATACATTTGTTTGGTATCAACACTGTTCCTTTGTGTGGCATTCTATGAAGGAGCCAGGCCACGGAGAAATGATGTAAAAATACCGAATAAGGGGTTGGATGAATGATTTCCAACATTGTTTCCAATAATTCTACATTTATCAAAATAAATCTGTCCTACTGAGCTGTGGTGTTCCTGGTAAAAAATAAGATTCTCTGCACGGTTTTAACAAGACTGAGCAGTGCCCTGAAAGCTGGTTTTGCAATAAGGTTCTCCTTGGAATTATAAACCGACTTCTCTGCTATTAATGTGAGGAGGAGCACTTCCTGTGCCACAAACACATTTCTTGCTAGCTTCCTCTGTAGGGATGTGGTCATAAATGCAGATTGCTGGAAGAAGAAGTATTCCAGTGTGCAATTAAAGGACTGTTTTTATGTCGGGATGCTTTGATGTAAGACGAACAGGCAAGGAAATTGGTAGATTAGAGCAGTGTTTCTCAACCTTGGCAACTTGAAGATGTCTGGANGCCGGTGAGATTTGAACCGCCGAACTGCAGATAGCAGTCAGCTGAAGTGGCCTGCAGTACTGCACCCTAACCACTGCGCCACCTCGGCTCTAGTAATTGCATGACCAAGAGTGGCTGTCTGGCTTTGCAATTGGTTTATAAGCAGGGGTGGGTTTCAACCGGTCTGCACGGACCGGTTGGTCGGTGAACCCGGAAGTAAGTAACTTCCGGGAACGCCGAAGGGCCCAGCCGCACACCCGCGCTCCTTACCGGTCTTTGAAGGCTTCTGCCCTTCAAAGCAGGCGCATGACACATACAGCGCCTGCGCGATTCTACGCAAGCAGCTGGAGCATCACGCAGGCGCTAAGACGCATGCGTGAACTGCGCGTGTGCACTAGGACGCCGCCGTACCGGTTGGAACGGGATGAGCAACCACCACTGGTTATAAGTATCTGTTCGAGGGGTTGTTGGTAAGTTGAGTATTTCCATTATATTACCTTTAAATGTGCAGAACATGTTTAGGGTTAAATAGTTGGAATAAGCTCAGGCGAGGCCTGGGTTCAAGTCCATCGTCAACTGATAAGGTTCATCTCTTTTTTTGCATCTTGCTTGCCTTATCCAGTTGTGGGAGGGAGGAAGGAATATCCTGTGTGCTGCTTTGGAGGAAGGAGGTGGACATTTGCCTCCTGTTACGGGCAGAGTGCCCAGTTTTATTTGAAAAGTGCTGGTCCATCAGAAAGCATATCTCCTCCGTTAGGATAAGAGCCATATGCTGTTGTTCAGCCTGCTTCCTCTGCCACCGCCAGCAGCTCTGCCTGTTTTCTGCCTCTCGTAGAAACTGGCATCTTCTCCATTTAATTTCCTAATGGAGCCCCAGGAAGAGAACCAAGCGAAAGGCCCGGATCTCTGAGCAAACTCTTATTCCGGGGCCCAAAGGAGAAAGAACGGCAATTAAAGCCCTGCATGACCACGATTGCATTGTGTACCCATTGTGATTCTTTCTTCCCTGTGTAATGTCAGCCAGCAGGTAGCTGTTGGACCACGCAATAACCCCCCTGCCTTTCCTCGTTTTCTCCTGGTAGAATCGCTGGACACCCGCTGGCACAGAACGAGCGCTGCCTACATATGTTCCTGCAAGACGAAACTATCGATAGGAATTACGTCCCGGGGAAAGTCCGCCAGTAGAGGGGAGCCTGGTCTCTTCCGTATTTTTTGTTTTTTTTTCCTCTCTGCAAAAATGACATTTATTTTTACACTTTCTTCTGAACCAGCTTTTTTTTTCTCTCTCCCTCTCTTTCCGAACTCCCTTACTTCTCCAGTGTTGCCCGTCACCGCCATCCCATTCCACCCCTTGTCAGGCAGCCACGACAAATTCTGTTGGTTTTTTGGTTTCTGCATGAAAGGTGAGGATTTATGAATAGCTGTACTTATCGGTGGGTGTGTAAAGCTTGCCAGGACCTTGTGTAAGAAGATACACTAG